GGGGGGGGGGGGGGGGTGTCTGGGATTCCCCCCCCCGACAAAAAGCAAGGACAGGGAGACTGTCTGCGGCAAGCAAGCACACACGGGCCAGCACACCGAATTGCTGCAGCTATTATTGAAGCAACCAACAACGACTGACATCAACAAGTTTCACATCGAACACCAAACATCAACAGCAAAAAACAAACAGCGCTGGAGGAGCCTGGCAAGGGAAAACAACGACAGCAGGGAAATATCAAAACAAAAACGATTACATATTGACAGGATCGAAAAGAACGTTACGCTAACCTTAGCCGGGACCACGTTCGGGTTCTGCATGATCGCCTCCCACCATGCCGTCGTCGGCCCGCCGTAGTACTGCTCGCGGTAAGCCTTGGCGTACCTGCACAAAAAAAAATCGCGGCGTTGGGCGGAATGAGCTACTCACCGTCACCGCCGTCTTGTGCTAAAACGCAGCTTGCCAGGAGCAGCAGGGTTGCCAACGTCATCATCGTGCCAACAACGGCATCCGCAGGGTTATGCTACATGCTGTCACCGTCTCGTGTAAAACGCGACGAGCACGGGCAACGGCATCAGCAGGGCTATAAGCTACACGACGGCATCACCGTGGGAAAATGCAACTTGTAAGGGCAACGGCATCGGCAAGGCCACTGGCGGCGAGCAGTCGCCGATGCCGCATCGTGCCGAAATAACCGGCGAGGGCGTGTTAGCGAAGCAAACGTTCATCCAGTAGAGCTCAACAGGAGGACCCTTACTTCCCCGTAACAAATTCACAGTACAAGCTGCTGTGCCCCCGGCTGTGCCGCAGTCGCTGGAGGCGATATACCTAGAGTTTCATAGTCTCCATAGCGTAGATGGGACGAGCTACTGTAAACATTCAACACTTGCTCAAACGTCCTATTCATACTCCCGACATCTCCTGGTCGTGGGAATTACAAGCACCCTTGCGGGAAGCACATCGGAGGGATAAGATCTGACGTAGGTAGAGCCCAACATCGAACAACAGCATCAGCAGCCCGTAGTGCTCTTCCAGAACCAAAGCATCAGCGTTTTCGTCAGCGAAGTGACGATGGCAAATGCCCAAAAGCTACAAAAAAAAAATCCTTACATGACGTCATCTTTGGCGACCAGGTCCATCTCCGCCGTGAGACCTACCATCAGTTACCCCGCCGTAGAAACGGTCGGAAGTTTCATAAATTGCATACATGGAAAAAAGACGGAGGTACGAGAGAGAAGGTGGGATAGTCAAGATCTGCTGCTGTTGCTAATTGTGGTTTGTCGTCGTCGTTATTCTTGTTCTTGTTGTTGCTATCACGGCAATGCATTTTTTTCTCTATCGAGCACCTCCATAATGTGGTGGTCTAGTTGGTATCCCCGAAACCTTCTAGAGGTCAGGTCAGGGGTTCGAATCCCGCCGTAAGCGAGCTTTTCTTGCAAAGAGTTTTTCTCTCGCTTCCGCTCCTGGCCTAGTGGATAGCACTAGTTCGTGTGTACACAGAGGGGAGAGAGCGCTGAACTCTTCTCGCATTAAAAATCGAAGGCAACTTACCGCAGGAGGGGAGGGTAGAGAGGGGCCCTGCTGTGTGCCAACGGGTTGGAGTAAACGGCACTATTTAGTGCTGTGAGCGCTGCTTTGAAGTGAAGACAAAAAAAATAAAAATATACTGCTGTCGTCCTTACCCAGGCAGATGACCAACGAGTTCCGGGGTATGAAACTACGGCGGTAGCTGCTTCGTTCGCGTTCTTGCAATCGAAATGGCCTACAAAGAGCATGATATAGTACTGCAAACCCTGTCCGGTGCAAACATCACGGCACGGTAGCGCAGGACACGACAAGCCAACCGCTACCCACCGCATCACCCCCAATCACAAAAGAAAACCGCTAGAGCGAACAACAAACACGATGTAAGCGGGCGGTAGAAGCAGGGATACACCGCACTCTCACCGTTAGGGCCGCTCCCGAGAGTGATGGAGAGGTGAGGCACGTCAAACATCGGCATGACCTGGTGAGTCCCAGGAGAAGATGACAAATGACGCGGCGGGGCGAAGAACGCAATCGACGAAAGAAAGTCGACGAACGGACAAGAAGTACGCACGACTGTTGTTTCTGCCGTTATATCGCCCGAAGTGAACCTTGTGTCGAAACTGTTTCTGTCATTTATGGCCCAAAGTGAACCTTAAGTCGAAATTTCGGGGGCGCCCTGCGTGCCGTGCTCCAACCGCGCCGTACGGCCCGGGCAGAGATACGCATGCCACCGACGATACAGGTCCGCAACACAAAAACAAAAAACTCCAGTGTTATTCCTCTTTCATGCATAGGGCCCAAGGTTGTAGTTGAGTAATGTCGACTTGGAAGCATGGCCCTCTTCGGGAAGTAACCGCTGAAAACAAAGCAACCATCGAAAAAATACATTTGTTGGGGACACCCAGAGCCCTGCGTGTTAGAGCATGGGGGCTAGAGAGGCACGGGGCGCTCCCAATCGCTAAACAAACTAGCTGTCCCTTCAGGATCCAGTTTTTTTCGCAACTCTTCCCAAGTCTCAAGAGAGAAACCGGCACTCCACAGTTGTAGGCAGGGGGGGGGGGGGGGCACG